ATGTTGATGATGATGGCGATGATGAAGATGATGGCGATGATGATGATGTTGGCGATGATGATGGCGATGATGATGATCATGGCGATGACGATGATGATGATGGCGATGATGATGATGGCGATGATGATGATGGCGATAATGAATGACAGTGGTGGTCGTGGTGAGAGTGGTTGGGGTAGCGGTTAGCGCTACGCGGCGCTACTGAGCCTTGTGAACCGAGTTCGATTCCCGCTCACGGCCACCAACATCGGTGAGGATGGTCTCAACCCAGTCCTGGGGCCTGCCCCTAGGTCGACTCAGCCTCAAACTAGTTACCTGTCATGTACGTGCGTACCTTCAACTTTGTGTCGCTCCGTACGTAGCCAACTCTGCTGATCACAGGTGCAGTTCGTGAACAGCACTTGCCCCAACAGCCCGTTGAGGCTACACGGGGTGGGGTGAGGGCAGGATCTTTGTCTTTGTGTAGCAGTTGGAGGTCCCCTTTCTCTAGCAGGCACCAATTTGAGGCTGAGTCGACCTAGGCGAGGACCAGGACTGGGTTCGGATAATCGTCACTGGTGGTGTCGCGGCCGTGAGCTCGGGGGTCTCTGCCGGGTTCGTAGCGCTAACTGCTGCGCCACCGCTCCCCACGACAACAAGAACAACAGCAACAACAAGAACAACAGCAACAACAGGACAACAACAACAACCCAATAAGTGGCGGTGACATCACCATGGCGCTTGTGCCAAGTGAGGTGCAGAAGGAAAAATAGTTCCCGTGGAACACCGCTCCGTTACAACACAGAACACCGCTCCGTTACAACGCGTAACACCGCTCCGTTACAACGCGGAACACCGCTCCGTTACAACGCGGAACACCGCTCCGTTACAACGCGGAACACCGCTCCGTTACAACGCGGAACACCGCTCCGTTACAACGCGAAACACCGCTCCGTTACAACGCGGAACACCGCTCCGTTACAACGCGGAACACCGCTCCGTTACAACGCGAAACACCGCTCCGTTACAACACGGAACACCGCTCCGTTACAACACGGAACACCGCTCCGTTACAACGCGAAACACCGCTCCGTTACAACGCGGAACACCGCTCCGTTACAACACGGAACACCGCTCCGTTACAACGCGAAACACTGCTCCGTTACAACACGGAACACCGCTCCGTTACAACGCGAAACACCGCTCCGTTACAACGCGGAACACCGCTCCGTTACAACGCGGAACACCGCTCCGTTACAACGCGGAACACCGCTCCGTTACAACGCGGAACACTGCTCCGTTACAACGCGGAACACCGCTCCGTTACAACGCGGAACACCGCTCCGATACAACGCGGAACACCGCTCCGTTACAACGCTCCGTTACAACGCGGAACACCGCTCCGATACAACGCGGAACACTGCTCCGTTACAACGCTCCGTTACAACGCGGAACACTGCTCCGTTACAACACGGAACACCGCTCCGTTACAACGCTCCGTTACAACGCGGAACACCGCTCCGTTACAACACGGAACACCGCTCCGTTACAACGCTCCGTTACAACGAGGAACACCGCTCCGTTATAACGCGGAACACCGCTCCGTTACAACGCAGAACACCTCTCCGTTACAACGCGGAACACCGCTCCGTTACAATGCGGAACACCGCTCCGTTACAACGCGGAACACCGCTCCGTTACAACGCGGAACACCGCTCCATTACAACGCGGAACACCGCTCCGTTACAACGCGGAACACCGCTCCGTTACAACGCGGAACACCGCTCCGTTACAACGCGGAACACCGCTCCGTTACAACGCGGAACACCGCTCCGATACAACGCGGAACACCGCTCCGATACAACGCGGAACACCGCTCCGTTACAACGCTCCGTTACAACGCGGAACACTGCTCCGTTACAACACGGAACACCGCTCCGTTACAACGCTCCGTTACAACGCGGAACACCGCTCCGTTACAACACGGAACACCGCTCCGTTACAACGCTCCGTTACAACGCGGAACACCGCTCCGTTACAACGCGGAACACCGCTCCGTTATAACGCGGAACACCGCTCCGTTACAACACGGAACACCGCTCCGTTATAACGCGGAACACCGCTCCGTTACAACGCTCCGTTACAAGCGAGCGGTGGAAGACGAACTACTTTCTTGAGCTGAGCGGCTGAGCGGAGTGATACGGTGACGCGGAGTGATACGGTGACACGGAGTGATACGGTGACACGGAGTGATACGGTGACACGGCGGCAGCTGCGTGCCCTGAGTTGTTTGTGCCGCCCTCTCACCGCGCAGTGTGCGTAGCAGCAGCAGCAGCATTAGTAGTAGCAGCACATCGGATCTCGCCAGACTTGATCATTACTATATTATTTACGGGGAAATGGTTTTCGCTTAACGCGTTTTACGATAAAAGGTGGCATCTTCTTGGTTCTTTCGGTAAAGTCACGTAGAAGGGAAGTAATAAAATGATTAAAATTAAACATAATAAAATAATTCTCACGACGTTTCGGCCACAACACAAGTAGCCATCCTCAGGTGAAGACAGGTCTGTCGAGGCGACAGCGTCTAAAAGAAAAACACCATCACAAATGATAGCCCAACGAAAGTGGACGACTTATCATCATCATCATCACGTGGTGTATTGCAGCAGTTATATACCCTAAACGTGTGACGTTGGTTTTAAGTGGTGTGTAGAAAACCGGAGGACCTGGAGAAAAATCAGTGGGATCGTAGGAAGACAGAGACACGCAAACTCCAAATATACAGCAGCAGGCGACACGATCTGATTCGAACCCACGGCCTCCTGTATACCAGGCGAGGTAGTTAACATCTCCTAGCCACCATGATGACGATGATGAGAGACACGCAAACTCCAAATATAGAGCAGCAGGCGTCAGGGTCGGGATCGAACCCACGACCTCATGTATACCAGGCGAGCTAGTTAACATCTCCTAGCCACCGTGGTGATGATGATGAGAGAGACACGCAAACTCCAAGTATACAGCAGCAGGCGACACGGTCTGATTCGAACCCACGACCTCCTGTATACCAGGCGAGGTAGTTAACATCTCCTAGCCACCATGATGACGATGATGAGAGAGAGACACGCAAACTCCAAATATACAGCAGCAGGCATCATCAGGGTCTGGATCGAACCCACGACCTCCTGTACACCAGGCGAGGTAGTCAACATCTCCTAGCCACCGTGGCGCCCTGAAACCCATCCACTGAGGACTTCCGGTCGACTTCCACACACCTACAGAGTTGTCGTTATGGATTTTGGAACTCGGTTAGGTGATAAGAGTTCGCGAAAGTACGTCTGCCGTGGGAGATGGAGCCACGGAATTGGCTCGCTCGTGTGCGGAGAGGGGGGAAGGGGGTGCGGTTCTACCCGCATCATTGGTTTTGTTGGTGGGGTTGGCAGGAAGGCGCTGTTGGCAGTCACCGCGGCGTCACCGCCTTGTCTATGAGTCGCAGGCCATTTGGGTTCCACCGATACGTGAGCTCGGATTGAGCTCGGATTGAGCTCGGGTCGAGCTCGGGTCGAGCTTGGGACGAGCTTGAGTCGAGCACGGGTCGAGCACGGGTTGAGCACGGGTAATCCCCCATCTGTCCGTGTCTTTCCAAATTACCTCCACCCACCACCTGCCAACTCCTGATCCCTCCTGCACACCTTCTCCCACCTCCCCTGACCACAATCTCCTCCCACCTCCTTCTCCACCATCTCCTCCACCTCCTCGGACCTCCCACCATCTCCTTAATCTCCTCCCACAATCTCTTCTACCTCCTTCCACCATCTCCTCCCACCATCTCATCCACTATCTCCTTTCACCATCTCCTCTATCTCCTCCCACCATCTTCTCCACCTCCTCCCATCTCCTCCCACCTCCTCCCACCATCTCCTCCCACCATCTCCTCTCTCTCCTCCTCCCATCTCCTCCCACCTCCTCCCACCATCACCTCCACCTCCCCATCTCCTCCCACCTCCCACCATCTCCTCCACCTCCTCCCACCATCTCCTAAATCTCCTCCCACCATCTCCTCCTCCACCTCCTCCCACCATCTCCTCCACCTCCCACAATTTCCTCCACCTCCTCCACCATCTCCTCTATCTCCTCCTCCCATCTCCTCCCACCTCCCTCCCACCATCACCTCCACCTCCCATCTCCTCCACCTCCCACCATCTCCTCCACCTCCTCCCCCCATCTCCTAAATCTCCTCCCACCATCTCCTCCTCCACCTCCTCCCACCATCTCCTCCACCTCCCATCTCCTCCCACCTCCCACCATCTCCTCCACCTCCTCCCACCATCTCCTCTATCTCCTCCTCCCATCTCCTCCCACCTCCTCCCACCATCACCTCCACCTTCCCATCTCCTCCCACCTCCCACCATCTCCTCCACCTCCTCCCACCATCTCCTAACTCTCCTCCACCATCTCCTCCTCCACCTCCTCCCACCATCTCTTCCACCTCCATCTCCTCCACCTCCCACCATCTCCTCCACCTCCTCCCACCATCTCCTCTATCTCCTCCCACCATCTCCTAAATCTCCTCCCACCATCTCCTCCACCTCCTCCCACCATCTCCTCCACCTCCTTCCACAATCTCCTTCCACCATCTCCTCCACCTCCTCCCACCATCTCCTCCCACCATCTCCACCTCCTCCCACCATCTCCTCCACCTCCTCCCACCATCTCCTCAACCTCCTCCCACCATCTCCTCCATCTCCTCCCACCATCTTCTCCACTTCCTCCCACTATCTCCTCCCACCATCTCCTCCATCTCCTCCCACTATCTCCTCCATCTCATCCCACCATCTCATCCACCTCCTTCCACCACCTCCTCCCACCATCTCATCCATCTCCTCCCACTATCTCCCACCATCTCCTGCATCTCCTTCCACTATCTTCTCCACCTCCTTCCACCATCTCCTCCATCTCCTCCCACAATCGCCTCCCACCATCTCCTCCCCCCCCCTCCCCACCCCTCTCCCCCCCCACAGGACGTGGGCTCTGCGGGGCTGCATCTGCGCTACGCCATCTACGGACACGGCTGCTCGGCCTCCTCCGAGCGCGGCGCCAAGGCCGCCGCCGAGCGTGCCATGCTGACGGCCGCGTCCGGCGCCGGCGTTGGCACCGGCGCCGGCGTCACCGGCGGTGTCTACGACTCGTCGTCCGTCCACCTGCCGCGCTTCCTCGGCAGGATGTGCCGCAACCCGATCTACGCGCCGCCACGCGCCGAGTGGATGAGTCCCAGCGCGGTCGGAGCCAACGTGGGTGGAATCATCACGGGCGCCACCGCCACCACCGCCACCACCACCACCACCACCACCGGCGCCGCCACCGCCGCCAGCCTTGCCGACATCTCGCCGGGCCGACTGATATTGTCGCACCTTCCCGGCGACGGCATGGTTGGCCACCACCACCACCAATACCACCAATACCACCACCTCCTCCACCATCAACAACAACAACACCATCATCATCACCCACATCAGCAGCAGCAGCTCATACTGGACGACCACCACTTCCAGCATCTTCAACATCTGCACGAGCGGCACCACCTCCTGCTGCAGCAGCAGGAGCACCAGCAGCACCAGCAGCACCAGCAGCAGCAGCAGGAGTTCCTGCTGGAGGTAGAAGCCGGATTGCGTCGGCAGGAGCTGAAGATCTGCGAGGCCATCACTCTGGCCGGTGTTGTTGAGTTACCGCAGCAGCAGCAGCAGCAGCTGCAGATGCAACAGCTGCAACAGATGCAACAGCAGGCGCCGCGGTTGCTGGAGGCCGGCTGTTTGTTGGAGGCGAGCGGAGGCGAGTACCTGGAACTGCGAGCGAAAGTCCACGCGGACACGGACTACCTGGAGGTGCTGGAGAGGCAGGCGACGCTCCACCAGGCGTAGCGAGGAGACGGAGGAATTTATGGAGGGAGGGATGGAGGAAGGGGCACACGGGGTCTGTGGGGACACGGGGACTGGGAGCCTGGTCACGGGACTTGGGTCTTGGGACACGGGATATGCAGCCTGGGACACGGGACATGGTACACGAGATGCAGGGCGTGAGACACGGGACATGGGGACTGGAACACGGGACATGGTACACGGGATATGGGGCCTGAGACACGGGATATGGGGCATGGAACACGGGACATGGTACACGAGATGCAGGGCCTGAGACACGGGACATGGGGCCTGGGACACGGAACATGGTACACGAGATGCAAGGCCTGAGACACGGGATATGGGGCCTGGAACACGGGACATGGGACGTGGGACACGGGAAACGGGACATGGGACGTGAGACATGTAACCTGAGACACGGGACCCTTAACACGGGACACACGGGACAAGAGACACGGGAACGGGACGTGGGAAATACGCGAATTGGGAGGGCGTGGAACCTGGGAGCTAGGACATGAGACACGAGACCGCTGGACGTGGAGCATGGGACACGGGACCATGGACACAGGCGCTCGTGCGGGGCTACGATTCTATCGGTGTTGGCGAGCAGAGAGAGGGGTCAGAGTGTCTGGTGGTGACGTGAGACCCAGAGTACAGATGTAGAGATTGTCTGGGTAGTGACGTGAGACCCAGAGTACAGATGTAGAGAGTGTCTGGGTAGTGACGTGAGACACAGAGTACAGATGTAGAGATTGTCTGGTAGTGACATGAGAACAGAGTACAGATGTAGAGAGTGTCTGGGTAGTGGCGTGCGACCAGAGTACAGATGTAGAGATTGTCTGGTAGTGACATGAGACCAGAGTACAGATGTAGAGAGTGTCTGGGTAGTGACGTGCGACCAGAGTACAGATGTAGAGATTGTCTGGTAGTGACGTGAGACCCAGAGTACTGATGTAGAGAATGTCTGGGTAGTGACGTGAGACCCAGAGTACAGATGTAGAGATTGTCTGGGTAATGACGTGAGACACAGAGTACAGATGTAGAGAGTGTCTGGGTAGTGACGTGAGACCCAGAGTACTGATGTAGAGAATGTCTGGGTAGTGACGTGAGACCAGAGTACAGATGTAGAGATTGTCTGGGTAATGACGTGAGACACAGAGTACAGATGTAGAGAGTGTCTGGGTAGTGACGTGAGACACAGAGTACAGATGTAGAGATTGTTTGGGTAGTGACGTGAGACCAGAGTACAGATGTAGAGATTGTTTGGGTAGTGACGTGAGACCCAGAGTACAGATGTAGAGATTGTCTGGGTAGTGACGTGAGACCCAGAGTACAGATGTAGAGATTGTTTGGGTAGTGACGTGAGACCAGAGTACAGATGTAGAGATTGTCTGGGTAGTGACGTGAGACCCAGAGTACAGATGTAGAGATTGTCTGGGTAGTGACGTGAGACCAGAGTACTGATGTAGAGATTGTCTGGGTAGTGACGTGAGACCCAGAGTACAGATGTAGAGATTGTCTGGGTAGTGACATGAGACCAGAGTACAGATGCAGAGATTGTCTGGGTAGTGACATGAGACCAGAGTACAGATGTAGAGATTGTTTGGGTAGTGACGTGAGACCAGAGTACAGATGTAGAGATTGTCTGGGTAGTGACGTGAGACACAGAGTACAGATGTAGAGATTGTTTAGGTAGTGACGTGAGACCCAGAGTACAGATGTAGAGAGTGTCTGGGTAGTGACGTGAGACACAGAGTACAGATGTAGAGATTGTCTGGTAGTGACGTGAGACACAGAGTACAGATGTAGAGATTGTTTGGGTAGTGACGGGAGACCAGAGTACAGATGTAGAGATTGTCTGGGTAGTGACGTGAGACCCAGAGTACAGATGTAGAGATTGTCTGGTAGTGACGTGAGACCAGAGTACAGATGTAGAGATTGTCTGGTAGTGACGTGAGACACAGAGTACAGATGTAGAGAGTGTCTGGGTAGTGACGTGAGACCCAGAGTACAGATGTAGAGATTGTCTGGTAGTGACGTGAGACCCAGAGTACAGATGTAGAGATTGTCTGGGTAGTGACGTGAGACCCAGAGTACAGATGTAGAGATTGTCTGGGTAGTGACGTGAGACCCAGAGTACAGATGTAGAGATTGTCTGGGTAGTGACGTGAGACCCAGAGTACAGATGTAGAGATTGTCTGGGTAGTGACGTGAGACCCAGAGTACAGATGTAGAGATTGTTTGGGTAGTGACGTGAGACCAGAGTACAGATGTAGAGATTGTCTGGGTAGTGACGTGAGACACAGAGTACAGATGTAGAGAGTGTCTGGGTAGTGACGTGAGAACCAGAGTACAGATGTAGAGATTGTCTGGGTAGTGACGTGAGTCCCAGAGTACAGATGTAGAGATTGTCTGGGTAGTGACGTGAGAACCAGAGTACAGATGTAGAGATTGTCTGGGTAGTGACGTGAGTCCCAGAGTACAGATGTAGAGATTGTCTGGGTAGTGACGTGAGACACAGAGTACAGATGTAGAGAGTGTCTGGGTAGTGACGTGAGTCCCAGAGTACAGATGTAGAGATTGTCTGGGTAGTGACGTGAGACCCAGAGTACAGATGTAGAGTTTGTCTGGGTAGTGACGTGAGACCCAGAGTACAGATGTAGAGATTGTCTGGGTAGTGACGGGAGACCAGAGTACAGATGTAGAGATTGTCTGGTAGTGACGTGAGACACAGAGTACAGATGTAGAGATTGTCTGGGTAGTGACGTGAGACACAGAGTACAGATGTAGAGATTGTCTGGGTAGTGACGTGAGACCAGAGTACAGATGTAGAGAGTGTCTGGGTAGTGACGTGCGACCAGAGTACAGATGTAGAGATTGTCTGGGTAGTGACGTGAGACCAGAGTACAGATGTAGAGATTGTCTGGGTAGTGACGTGAGACACAGAGTACTGATGTAGAGATTGTCTGGGTAGTGACGTGAGACCAAGTACGATGTAGAGATGTCTGGGTAGTGACGTGAAGACCAGAGTACAGATGTAGAGAGTTGTCTGGGTAGTGACGTGAGACACAGAGTACTGATGTAGAGATTGTCTGGGTAGTGACGTGAGACCCAGAGTACAGATGTAGAGATTGTCTGGGTAGTGACGTGAGACACAGAGTACAGATGTAGAGATTGTCTGGGTAGTGACGTGAGACCAGAGTACAGATGTAGAGAGTGTCTGGGTAGTGACGTGAGACACAGAGTACTGATGTAGAGATTGTCTGGGTAGTGACGTGAGACCAGAGTACAGATGTAGAGAGTGTCTGGGTAGTGACGTGAGACACAGAGTACTGATGTAGAGATTGTCTGGGTAGTGACGTGAGACCAGAGTACAGATGTAGAGATTGTCTGGGTAGTGACGTGAGACCAGAGTACAGATGTAGAGATTGTCTGGGTAGTGACGGGAGACCAGAGTACAGATGTAGAGATTGTCTGGGTAGTGACGTGAGACCAGAGTACAGATGTAGAGATTGTCTGGGTAGTGACGTGAGACCCAGAGTACAGATGTAGAGATTGTTTGGGTAGTGACGGGAGACACAGAGTACAGATGTAGAGATTGTCTGGGTAGTGACGTGAGACCCAGAGTACAGATGTAGAGATTGTCTGGGTAGTGACGGGAGACACAGAGTACAGATGTAGAGATTGTTTGGGTAGTGACGGGAGACACAGAGTACAGATGTAGAGATTGTCTGGGTAGTGACGTGAGACCCAGAGTACAGATGTAGAGATTGTCTGGGTAGTGACGTGAGACCCAGAGTACAGATGTAGAGATTGTTTGGGTAGTGACGGGAGACACAGAGTACAGATGTAGAGATTGTCTGGGTAGTGACGTGAGACCAGAGTACAGATGTAGAGATTGTCTGGGTAGTGACGTGAGACCAGAGTACAGATGTAGAGATTGTCTGGGTAGTGACGTGAGACCCAGAGTACAGATGTAGAGATTGTTTGGGTAGTGACGGGAGACCAGAGTACAGATGTAGAGATTGTCTGGGTAGTCACGTGAGACCCAGAGTACAGATGTAGAGATTGTCTGGGTAGTGACGTGAGACCCAGAGTACAGATGTAGAGATTGTCTGGGTAGTGACGTGAGACCCAGAGTACAGATGTAGAGAGTGTCTGGGTAGTGACGTGAGACCCAGAGTACAGATGTAGAGAGTGTCTGGGTAGTGACGTGAGACCAGAGTACAGATGTAGAGATTGTCTGGGTAGTGACGTGAGACCCAGAGTACAGATGTAGAGATTGTCTGGGTAGTGACGTGAGACCCAGAGTACAGATGTAGAGATTGTCTGGGTAGTGACGTGAGACCCAGAGTACAGATGTAGAGAGTGTCTGGGTAGTGACGTGAGACCCAGAGTACAGATGTAGAGAGTGTCTGGGTAGTGACGTGAGACCAGAGTACAGATGTAGAGAGTGTCTGGGTAGTGACGTGAGACCCTGAGTACAGATGTAGAGATTGTCTGGGTAGTGACGTGAGACCCAGAGTACAGATGTAGAGATTGTCTGGGTAGTGACGTGAGACCCAGAGTACAGATGTAGAGAGTGTCTGGGTAGTGACGTGAGACCCAGAGTACAGATGTAGAGAGTGTCTGGGTAGTGACGTGAGACCCTGAGTACAGATGTAGAGATTGTCTGGGTAGTGACGTGAGACCCAGAGTATAGATGTAGAGATTGTCTGGGTAGTGACGTGAGACCCAGAGTACAGATGTAGAGATTGTTTGGTAGTGACGGGAGACCAGAGTACAGATGTAGAGATTGTCTGGGTAGTGACGTGAGACACAGAGTACAGATGTAGAGATTGTCTGGGTAGTGACGTGAGACACAGAGTACAGATGTAGAGATTGTCTGGGTAGTGACGGGAGACCAGAGTACAGATGTAGAGATTGTCTGGGTAGTGACGTGAGACCCAGAGTACAGATGTAGAGATTGTCTGGGTAGTGACGTGAGACACAGAGTACAGATGTAGAGATTGTTTGGGTAGTCACGTGAGACACAGAGTACAGATGTAGAGATTGTCTGGGTAGTGACGTGAGACCCAGAGTACAGATGTAGAGATTGTCTGGGTAGTGACGTGAGACACAGAGTACTGATGTAGAGATTGTCTGGGAAGTGACGTGAGACCCAGAGTACAGATGTAGAGATTGTCTGGGTAGTGACGTGAAACACAGAGTACAGATGTAGAGATTGTCTGGGTAGTCACGTGAGACACAGAGTACAGATGTAGAGATTGGTCTGGGTAGTGACTGAGACCAGAGTACAGATGTAGAGATTGTCTGGGTAGTCACGTGAGACCCAGAGTACAGATGTAGAGATTGTCTGGGTAGTGACGTGAGACCCAGAGTACAGATGTAGAGATTGTCTGGGTAGTGGACGTGAGACCAGAGTACAGATGTAGAGATTGTCTGGGTAGTGACATGAGACCAGAGTACAGAGGTAGAGATTGTCGGGTAGTGACGTGAGACCCAGAGTACAGAGGTAGAGATTGTCTGGGTAGTGACCGGAGACCCAGGGGAGGGTACAGATGTAGAGATTGTCTGGGTAGTGACGTGGACCCGAGTACAGATTAGAGATTGTCTGGGTAGTGACGTGAGACCAGAGTACAGATGTAGAGAGTGTCTGGGTAGTGACGTGAGACACAGAGTACAGATGTAGAGATTGTCTGGGTAGTGACGTGAGACCAGAGT